AGCATGTGAAAGCAGCATCAGATGGCTTCACAGAATATTCAATGCAGCATGGGTACAACAAAAGGCCCCTATTGATTGGCAACATGCAATAGTTATACCATTGTGGAAGAACAAAGGAAGCAAACGAGAATGCGGTCAATATCGAGGCTTCTCTCTTTTAAGCCATGTTGGCAAAATGTATGCCAAGATAATAGAAACAAGACTGAGACCAGTGATAGAACCACAGCTGGCAGAAGAACAGATGGGATTTAGGAGAAATAGAAGCTGCACAGATGCAATCTTCACACTTAAACAGTTAATAGAAAAGAACATTGAACACAATAAGAACTTATTTGTGGCATTCGTAGACCAGGAGAAGCATTTGACAGAGTCGACAGACAATTATTATGGAAAATAATGGCAAGATATGGAGTAAGCAAACACCTCATCGAAGTGTGCAAAAGTTTATACAGGGATTGTAGAAGTGTAGTTAGAATAAATCAGGGAACATCTCATCCTTTCACAGGGACATCTGGAGTAAGACATGGGTGTGTCTTATCACCACTGCTGTTTATCACCTACATCGACAGTATATGCAAGAATGCCAAGCCCATGAATGAAGATCTTAGTAAGATCAGCGAATTACTCTTTGCAGATGACCAGGCCTTGATAGCAGATACAGCCATGAAAGTGCAACAACATCTAACATCCATGAATGCAGAATGTAAAACAAATAATATGAGAATCAACACTGAAAAGACAGAAGTAATGTCAATAGGAAAAAAGAAGGCAGATCTAAACATAGCAATAGAATACAAAGGCATTAAACAGGCATCTGAGTTTAAATATTTGGGAACTCCATTTACCGAAGATGGGAAATTGGATAAAGAAATTGACATCAGATGTAGTAAAGCAAACCAAGTATTGGGACAGCTAGCACCCCTCTTACAGCATAAGACAATCCCAATCAGCACAAAGAGACATCTTATTCAAAGCATATTTATTCCAACTCTGTGCTACCAGTGCCAGACATGGTCACTCACAACAAACCATAAAAGAAAATTAGTAACCACGGAAATGAGATGTCTGAGAAGGGCTGTAGGAGTGACCATTAGAGATAAGATCAGGAATGAGATCATAAGAGAACAAGTCGGCACAGAACCAATTCTGGATTACATACAAAGACAGCAAGTGAAATGGTTTTCCCACTTAGAGACAATACCTTGTGACACCATACCATACAAAGCATACATGGAAAGAGAAGAAGGACGTAGAGCACGGGGTAGACCAAGAACAAGATGGAAGGATAACATCAGAGAAACTCTACAACAGCACGATGTGCCTATGGTCGAGGCAGCCAGAAGAGCTAGAAATAGAACCTTATATCTCCCTGGACACCCACAGCGGTAAAAGAGGAAGTGAAGAAGAAGAAGAAGAAGATTCAAATAGATCGCAAACTGAAGAAAAGAAGGGAAAAAAAAGGTGAATAGTCAACTGACCAGGTTACATTGGAAAACCTTCGTTGAGAAGTGCAGTTCCAACGTTTGTGGTGTCTATTGTTCATTGTAATTTTCTCCAGTTTTCTTTGTCGAAGCGTTTGGGGAAGATGTGAGGATTTTTTTTTATGCTCTTTCCAGTGTCTTGTATTTGTTGGTCTTTATTTCCTTAAGGCTGTTCTTGGCGCCTTTTTTCTATTTTCTGCGTGGTCTTCGGCTTGCTTAGGGTCTACCGTTTTTCGTCAGTGGGGCTCTCTATGGCAGTTGGTGGGTGTAAACACTGATTTAGATCTCACCAATGCCAGGAGTTGGAGCATGATGTTGAAATTTCCGCTTACGGAGATGTTTGAGATCAAAAATCACTTTTTTAGCACACGGATATCGCCAGTAATTACACCAGAATCTTCAGATAGATCAAAAAGGTATAACACCTCACAGTGTACGAAATCCGTGGCACGGTTCTTCTTCTGCTTCTCTTCTGCTTCCTCCTCCTCATCATCATTTTTTTACTTTTACTTCAACTCAGGAACCCTTAATGTTTACTGCTGCAAATATTATCTGCCTCCATTTGTTTATTTGATTTGACGTTTTCTTTCCAGTTAGTGACCACAGTTTGTTGATCCGCCTGAATATTATCTCTTCTTCGCCCCTCGGGGGCGGAGGTTTGCACTTTTGTTGTTGATGATAAGGCAAATGTTTCAGAAGCTATCTGGGATCAACTGCAAAGAGCAGCAGAACTAAAAGAACTCCGAAGAACTGGCGAGACTGATTCAAAGGTTAATGAACTAACTCGGTGCTCCAAAAGACGCACACTTAATCAAGTTGCTGATGGGGGAAAACTTTGCTGGGTGCCGAAGAAGGGGACTGACTGAGCAGAGTGAGAATGTCCCAAGTGCAGCAATGCCATTTTTTGACAAAACCATTTGTCCACCCCCCCCCCCCCCCTCCCCCCCCCCCAACCCCTCTTCCCCATCCCTGGTAATTTTTCTAATTTTAAAACGACCTGGGAAGCGAAAAGTCTGCTAAATACTTTTGATATTCAACTGCAGATTTTTATTTGAGCTCTGTGCACATCAGCTTACATAATCAGTCGAGTGTTGATTAGTTTTAAAAAGAATATGGGTATAGTAAGGTGTGCCCTTATGCGGCAATAATGCGAAAACTGTTATTTATTACCCTAATGACTTACTTATCAATAATATCCAACCAATTAACTTTTCAACATTTAAAAAAAAATTAAGCTAACACACAACGAAAAACATTACAAAGAACAGAGAACAGACATGCAAGTTTGTTTTTGTAAAATGTGTATTATCAGTATATATGAAAACATTATCATAGAATAAAATATACTCTGTTACTCTGATGGCAACAGTCATTATACCTCCCAGTGTCGTTGGTAGATAAGGTTAAAAACATGTAAGATTTATTGCCCACGCATTTCTATCAACAGAATATATTCAGTGTATGACTGATTATTAAACAACATTGATTGTCTTAGGTTAGAATGAATAGTGAAACAAATTTCAGGACAGCTTTAAGAAAACAAAAAGGGTGGGGGGGGGGGGGGGGGGGACCATTGTGTAAATTCATTAAAAGAATATGTGTGTAAACAAAATCTGACATGTAGATAAATATATTTAAAATACGTTCTGATAGAATTTGAAAAAATTCGCCTTTGAAAGCAAAAACATAATGTTTATACCCCCTCCCCCCCCCCCACCACCCCACTACTCCATTTTTCCCCCGACACCCCACACACCACACTCACACACACACACACCACACACACTGTATAATGTTCTGGAGTGACAAGGAATAACGTTTCTGTAACAGATATATTTAATCATTTAATTCAATGTCCTGTTTCCACTTGCGGATGCATGGATTTGTTTGTAAAACATATATAGTACATTTCAAATCACGCACGACCGATTTCACATCCCCTACAATTTAGGTTTATAAGAACTTCATATGTAAATCTATGAACATAGGGCAATACAACTGCATTTCTCTATAAAAAATATAGGTTAGTTGCGTATCCTTTACAGGACTGTGCAGAACCAATCCTAGCAGCTCCTGGCTGTTATGTGGTTTCTCTTGGCAATTTACGTCCAGTAGTTTGCCATTGCTTTCTGGACGGTCAGCCCCCTAATACCACTGTCGAAACCAACGCAACGCGCATGGCCCGCAGCTGGGATCGAACCCGGCACCCTAGCATTACGAAGCGTTCGCATAGACTTAGCCACAGAGCTGGCGCAATTCTCTATATGGTGTATTATTTCAAATTAGAGGGTACAAACCACCACACATTATTTGTATCTATCTATCTATCTATCTATCTATCTATCTATCTATCTATCTATCTATCTATCTATCTATCTATCTATCTATCTATCTATCTATCTATCTATCTATCTATCTATCTATCTATCTATCTATCTATCTATCTATCTATCTATCTATCTATCTATCTATCTATCTATCTATCTATCTATCTATCTATCTATCTATCTATCTATCTATCTATCTATCTATCTATCTATCTATCTATCTATCTATCTATCTATCTATCTATCTATCTATCTATCTATCTATCTATCTATCTATCTATCTATCTATCTATCTATCTATCTATCTATCTATCTATCTATCTATCTATCTATCTATCTATCTATCTATCTATCTATCTATCTATCTATCTATCTATCTATCTATCTATCTATCTATCTATCTATCTATCTATCTATCTATCTATCGTTCTAAAGTACAAGTCGTTCGTTTGTTCTATCTATCAATCTACCTATCTAACTGCCGAACACACCCATAGACCCACACGTAAGCCGGAACTAATTTGCAGTGACGCTGATCCCTATACTACCACTACTACTACTACTACTACTACTACTACTACTACTACTACTACTACTACTACTACTACTACTACTACTAACGACTACTACTACTACTACCACCACCACCACTACTACTTCTACTACTACTACTACTACTACTACTACTACTACTACTACTTCTTCTTTTTCTACTACTACTACTACTACTACTACTACTACTACTACTACTACTACTACTACTACTACTACTACTACTACTACTACTACTACTACTACTACTACTACTACTACTACTACTACTACTACTACTACTACTACTTCTACTACTACTATTGCGTTTCGATTTATATTCTAATTATATTTTCCCCACCCACCTCCTGGAGAAGATGTATACACACAGGTAAATTTCATTTTATTTTTTATATTTAAACATTTTCTGTCTCCCTTTTTTGCCTTGAGTGAAATCCGATCCTTAACTGAACAGTCAGTTAAATTATGCATAGAAGATCCTTCAAGTTGTGTCCTGATTATGTGTATAGGTAAGTTTAATACTGCCTTTGTTAGACAGACTGTCGTAAACAACTATTTAATGGATGATTCTAATTGACAATATTACCTACCATGTCTGTTTCAAAACCATGATACTGCTGGCACAGCAAGTTCCGACCAGTTAGACAAAACTTTCCCCCAGCTTGTTTGTCAGCACCTGGATGCAGTTGGTGGTGTCGGGTCCCTGCTCGGTTCCCATGACCAGGACAATCTGGTCGTTATACTTGATAATTCGGTTTCTGACTCCAAAGTCTAAGCCAGCCGTTAAGTAGGCATTGACCTCTTCCGCCCAGGATGGCTTGGAAGGGCCCGAAAAAAGGAAAGGTATAATGGCCCTGGAAACGCAACGAAGGGAAATTATTTAAATATGCACTTGCATTTTATTTAACACGAACTATACATAAACATCATCTTGAAGCAGGTCCTTTGCAGCTCGTCGCTCTTAACACGGTCTGCCCGAAATAAACTAGGTCTCTTTCCAGCTCTCCCGCCTCGTGCACCTAGTTTTTTATTTGAGATGTGGTTTTTGAGAATAAGGCTATGAGTATAATCGACGGATAGAAAAAACAGATGAAGCCTCCTGATCTAGACAAATGAAAGTCATAGACAGTTATTATCTTTCGGACAGTTAATGAGAAAGAATTTGACTCAAGAACTTGGTAATAACTGACAAGACTGATGAAAAAAAATAAGCAAGAGGAAGGCTAAGAGATAAATACTGGGATGGCCTGGCCAGCTGGATGTGACAAGACAAAAATACTTAACTGATCCGTGATTCTTGACAGCCTGCACTTATCGTCACGGCACATGCTGAAGATGGTGATGATGATAATGATGGTGGTGGTGGTGGTAGTTGTAGTAGTGGTGATGGTGGTGGTGATGACGTACACAACCTCTCCCATTTTTATTCTTTCGAACTAGAAAACCTGCCGGCTGACTGCATAACTATTGCTCATGCTACCTCGAAAGGCAGACGTTCCTATATAATTTTAGTTTTTTTTTTTTTTTAACAGTACTTACGGGAATAGCTCATGGGAGAAGTGACTAAAGTTAACTGGCACAAAACTGAAGATAGAAAACTGACGAGTCGCTGGCGCTAGCCGAACTTAATGAATTAGAGTGAAGTCTGGTCAAGAAAAAATTTGACATTGAAAACTCATAATGTGTATCTGTAACTAGCCTGAATATACGACTTAATAAAGAAGTCTGATCAAGCAGGTTGGACACCAAAAACTTATCTTTTTGGATCTGGTTGAGAGTGAAATCTGGTCAAACCCCTGTATACCTAGCCAAGAACTTCTATGCATGACAGGCAATACAACTCAGTTATATCTATAACAAGAAGGTCTATAAATGATAAGAGAATAAACAGTAAGTATGTATGTCTGTGGCTTAGGCCAAATTGTGCAATCTATTGTTTGTGTCTTCTTTGTTCAAATTCACAACGAAGAAACATTGCTTCGAGTTTATCATACATTTATAGCTGAGGGCGGCAAAGGTTAATTAGAGAGTCACGTCTGAAATAAACTAATCCCGGATTTTGCCGCTAAAGATAAGAATTAGTTAAATATAAAGAAGTGTTGATTGATTTTAAATTACCGTGACTCAACTAACAAAGGACTACTGTCATGGTTAAGTGTTACACTGACGTAATGGACTAGTCTTTGCAACTGTTACTCTGAAACCAATGTGTTTTTTTTTTAACTTCTGTGGTATTCTGACAATGAAATATGTCAGACAGTACATCGTGTAATCCAATATTATTTGAAAATAATAAATTGTTATTCTGGCGGAGCGGGACTTGTTTCAAAAATGACTCTGGCTCTCAGGTCGACCCTCGGAAGTAAAGACGGCCGGTGTGATGTTGATCATGTAAGCCACCCAGTGCCGATTGGTCTGTAAAACTTAGATCTAGCTTGACATGACCAATACGGCTAAAGACGAAGACCAGTGGGGGAATCTTGTGACTTGTGTAGGTCAGCTTCATCATCATTTCATCATCATCATCATTTCTCCTTATGCCTAGTGGCACATGAGGCTTCAGAGAGGACTTTCCATGCTTTCCTGTCTTGTGCAGTCTTCAGTGCAGTTTTTCGTTTCAGAGATGCCCCATTCAGGTCACTCTCAATTGTTCGTCTCCGTGTTGTTTTTGGGGCGCTCCTTCTTTCTCTTTCCCTCTGGTGTCAATATGAGAGATGTATTCGCAGGTGTATCAGGATTCATTCTCATAACGTGGCCAATCCATTTCCATCTTCTCTTGGTTATCATACTGTCTAGAGTTTCTTGGTTTGTGATTTGAAGTAGTTAAGTGTTTGAGATTGTAGTAGGTCAGCCTCGCGTTCTTTTAAATAACAAAACAATCTCAGGGTTTTTCTTTTTCTGCGTACGCCTTTACAAGGGGTGGTTGACAAGTTTTGTTAGGGTTAACAGAAAGGCGGTGTCTTTCGGTCGAACACCTATAATTTCAGCTAAACCCTATTTAGTTGCCTTTTAAATCATTCCTGTTAAGAGGCATTAGGTCTATTCATTACCCCAAGTATAGGGCTCTTAAAGCACATATGGGCAGCTGAGTTTCCATTAAGAACTACCCAATGTTGTGAGAGCTATAAAGAAAACAATACAAGACCCATTTCCATGTTTGTATGCTTTTTGAATATGTTTATAGATTATTTATCACTCAAAGAGTTAAGTGATCAGTATTTTTTATATATATATATATATATATATATATATATATATATATATATATATATATAAAAAACCTCTTACTTCCCAACACATTTAAATATCCATTTTAGGAATCCCAGATTTAAAGAAAGAGAGGGTTCAAACATATTTCCGTCCACTGGTCAAGCGGTATTGTCACAGCTCTACCAGGAGTTAAGTTGACCTTTGGTCATGTCTAATGGCATTATGGTGGACACTCATTAACTTGTATCCATTCTGTAATTTTCATTAGCATCAGTCAGCGGGTTCTTTACACAAAGTCGCTCTTTCCACGGCACACCTGATAATCTCTCTTTCTCTAGCCAGTGTCTCCAGCTCGGTGTGCATTGATAGCCAATGTCTCCAGCTCTGTGTGCATTGATAGCCAATGTCTCCAGCTCTGTGTGCATTGATAGCCAATGTCTCCAGCTCTGTGTGCATTGATAGCCAATGTCTCCAGCTCTGTGTGCATTGATAGCCAGTGTCTCCAGCTCTGTGTGCATTGATAGCCAATGCATCTTTAATATCTTGTATCCACGATAATGAAGGTCAGCCTCTGCCTCGTTTTCCTGAAACTGCACCCTCCAAACAGCATTAAAATTCTATGGTTAAGCACCAACAAGGTAATCAAAATTAAAAGTCTATGTTTAAGCACCAACAAGGTAATCAAAATTAAAAGTCTATGGTTAAGCACCAACAAGGTAATCAAAATTAAAATTTTGAGAGCATGCATCTTCCCTCTAGCAAACATAGGGAAATAAGTCGTGAATTATCTCCCACTACATACGAATTAAATTAGGAGCTTTGAGCTATACTGCTATGGAAAGTAGGGCTGTACCGAGTAGTGTTTTTGACTATTCCGCCGAATAAGAAAAGCGGGACCAACTATACTACAGCCGAATACGAATACGAACAGTGTATAGTCTATAAAATATATCTTTAAAAAAAAATAATAATAATTCATAATGTCAAATGTACGCTGAACTTTTACTTCACATAAAGTAGCAGAGAATAGTCATCTTTTTCTTTAGCATTCTGAGCCCTTGAGGTTTACTGCTGCAGATATCACTCGTCTCCATTCATCTCTCTGGCTGACCTTATCTTCACAATTTGTGACACCAGCTGTCTGCAGGTCTGACTGGATATTATTTCTCGAACTTATTTTTTGTCTGCCTCGTGGTCTACGCCCATTCCTCTCTCATGTGTATACAGTTTTACTTCTCTGTCATCTGACAATCTTTCAAAATGCCCCAACCATTTTAGTCTGTTAGCTCTCATGATACAGTGATCAATGGCGATTTAAACAGATTATGTGTTACGTTGTTGCTTCTCACTCTCCATTCCCCGATGTAAGCATCTTTGATGAGTCCAAAGATTTGTCGTAAGACTGTTTTCGAAAACCTGTAATAAGGCCTCATCTCTTTTATTTCTGCTTCAAGTTTCAGAGCCACATAAAACGACTGGTCTTATCAACACTTTATATATTTTGATCTTGGTGTTGCGAGACAGACACTTTGACTTCAGCAGATGTTGAATGGCATAGTATACTTTATTTCTAGATTGTTTTCTATATTGTATTTCTTCTTTCAGCATGTTGGAGCAGTTGAAGTTTGCACGCAAGTACTTATATGTTTCCGTTCTTTGATTTTCATTTTATCGACTTGGATGTGGCCGGAGTTTTTATTCTTTCCATGTCTAGTTAGTATTCGTACAGAATAGTAAACATTTAAAAACATTTTATGTTTTGCATCCTTCAGTCAGTATGTAGTAACTAATGACTAGGAATAAAAGAATCCAAAGTATTATAACAAGTAACTAAACTTGGAAATTGTAAATGGCAGCTTAGTTAATGCATGAAAGCTGCATTAGCTTTCAACAAAACCAATCGTTCCATGTCAGTATTAAAGCCGTGAATGCAGAAGCGGGTGTAAGGTAACTACTATTCGTATTCGGCACAACCGCAACTATTCGGTCGAATACCGAATAGCCAATAGGTACACTATTCGGCCCCGAAGCGAATACGAAGCCAATATTCGGTAAAGCCCTACTGGAAAGACTCTCAGAATAGCATACACAAAGAAGATGAGAAATAGTGGCATTTTAAAAGATCTGAACAAAAGGAAGATTGGCTAAAAAAAAAAAAAAACAGCATCTTGTCTCAGAAGCTAAAAAATTTTAGTCATATCAAGCGTCATGGCGGATTGGGAAAAAATAGCAGAAGACATGGTACTGGGAAGAAGGGGCAGGGGCCGAGCTAAACGAAGATGGGCACAGGATATAAATGACTCCTTGAATATGAAAGTACACGAGGCGGGAGAGCTGGCGAGAGACCGAGTTTCTTTTAGGCAGCACACCGTGATGAGAGCGACGTTCTGCAAAGGACCTGCTACATGATGATAATGAACGCTCCACCACTGTTCTGTCATCCTAAAAAAAAACTGTAAGAACAAAACGCTGGATTTCTGAGTTTTACCAACGACGCCTTTCAACTCAATGTCATGCACTCATTCATACATGACCATAGTTTTTGTATTTTTTTTTTAAAGTACAATAAAGGACCCTTTTCAACGCTTTCAGGGATACTGGCCATACAGAGCTAGACCTATATTTTATAAACCAGTCGGCACTGGATGGTCAAAATGGACGCTAGGCAGGGTCACTGTTTAAAACCGTGGCACATTGTTTGCTCCTGCCAGACGGTGGCCGTTGCATTTTTGCTCCATTTGTAGACTGAAGGGATATAGCTTCGTTGTCCAGCTTTTGAGTTGAGTGCATGGCCTGACACTGTGAGCTGCGGATTTCAGTTAGGATGTTTTTCGACTGTGACCAACATGGGGGTATGAATTTTAGATACAGAAAATAGCGTGATGCCGGTTGTCGCAAATTTGGTGGTGCTATTATGTGATTCAAATTTATCGCGTGTGCTGATCTGTTGGTGACTTCTGCTAGTGCTACCATCCATGATGAAGTGCATTTCTAATCTCGTACTGTTTGTGTTAGCACTTCCGATGGCTACCGTATGCTTTTAATGTTTGTGTATGCTAGTGCAAATGCTAGTAGGTAGTCTGTCAATCTTTCCACAAGGGACTTTACCTGAGACCCATTTAAGGCTAGGTCGAATAGCACTTTGACGCTAGTAGCTTCTCAAAGAACACGACCATCTTACCTGTATAGCAACGACTGCTTGGCTGCGGTTTCGCTTCTGGTGACCATGATGATGGGACAGCGCGGTCTGTACGCGGACAAGAGAGCTCCTGTTCGGCCCGTCATGGAGACGCACAACATCGCCGTGGCCATACACTGGTAAGACGCCCCCACTGCAGCTAGAGCGATGGTGTGCTCCGAGTCAGCGTACACTGGGGTGAACCGTTTCAACTCTTCGAACGTCCTCTGACTGCACCAAAATAATGAACAGTGAAAGTAAAGAAACGGTTCCCACGTTTGAGACATTTGCCGATGCAAAGAAAACAATCGGAAAGGGGTGAGGCGGATGAGGGCAGAGGTAGGGGTGTTCAGCCCCTTTACAAGTGAGGGCTGGTGCTCAAGGGGCCTACGCCCTATTAAAGTGCTTTAGATCAGTGGTCCCTTTTGAGTAAGTGGCAAGACCCTCTTGTCCCCCTTTAATATATGGCCACACACCCCCACCCACACCCCCTCCCCTGAGTATATACAATAATTTGCTTTTGGTGGAGGGTGGTCACAATGTACGCAAGCCGCACAGATTCCGGCGCCTCTGGGTATGGACAAATGGTGCTAGGTTATAGACCAAAAACACTTTCGGGATCTTCTTCTTCTACTTCTTCTTGGTCTTCACCGGTTGTGAACTTCGACGGAAATTTCTTGCTGTTCGTCCCTTTCTGCAATTTTTGTCTTGTTCCTTTACAAGTGAGGGATGGTGCTCAAGGGGCCTACGCCCTATTAAAGTGCTTTAGATCAGTGGTCCCTTTTGAGTAAGTGGCAAGACCCTCTTGTCCCCCTTTAATATATGGCCACACACCTCCACCCACACCCCCTCCCCTGAGTATATACAATAATTTGCTTTTGGTGGAGGGTGGTCACAATGTACGCAAGCCGCACAGATTCCGGCGCCTCTGGGTATGGACAAATGGTGCTAGGTTATAGACCAAAGACACTTTCGGGATCTTCTTCTTCTACTTCTTCTTGGTCTTCACCGGTTGTGAACTTCGACGGAAATTTCTTGCTGTTCGTCCCTTTCTGCAATTTTTGTCTTGTTCCTAAACTTAAGATCTTTCTTATTTATATGCAGATTGTTAGCTCTTCTCCTCTCATTCAAATGCACTCTGACTTTGAGAGAAACATTTAAAGTATTTAGTCGCTTTTACGATATGTTGTTATGGGGCAGTGTCTATTATTCCCCCCCCCCTTTTTTTCCCCCGCTGAAAGTCGGGTTCAAAAACGCTAGTTGGAACCTTTAGGGGCTAAACCAAAAATACGACGTCCGTTGTTTTTTTTTTTTAAAGGCAATTTGCCCACAATTTAAAGTAAACGCTGTGTGGTATTTATCATCACGTCTGCCTTCTTCATCCTAGTCTCCATATTCTCCTCCTTAACCGGCTGTAAACTCCATCGCAAGGTTGGGGGTGTTCGTCCATGTCTGGAATTTAGTCTTGTTCCACAATCTAAGTGTTGCGTGGACATCCTTTTCACAGAACTGGCTTATTTGTATGCAGACCCTTTGTTGCTTGCCTCTTATGCAGATGTACTCCGACTTCGAACGATACTCAAAGTTAGTCGACTCCTACGACATGCATGCTGGGTCAGTTTTTGTTATCCTCACAATAGGGATCCGGCACTCACACGGGAAATCATTTCTGTCAGTAAGCATTCTTTCTCGCATTCTACCAATCATCTATGATGCTGAAAGGGTCTCGTTAACACATAGGCGGATAATTGTTTTTTTTTTTTTTTTTTACCATTTAAAAGTAAAGGACCCAAATTGGCCAAATTAGGAAAGAGCCACATCTATATTAATAAAAATCTAAATTTTCCGGTGCCGATAGATCTAAACTCGGAAACTACTGAACCGATTGCTTTCAAATTTGCACACAACGTTGCCTCTGACTCAAAGCGTTAATTTTTGTCATAAAATCGCACAAACCACGAGCGACCTAGCTTCAGCAACGGTCAAATCATTATTTGTTTCGTTGCCGCCCGGATTTATTTTTAATGAATTGGCCACCTTTGACTGTGCAACGCCGACCTTCACATTATTATTATATACTTTTATTTCCATAGAATGCTCGAGTATTCATTAGCGTAGTTAGTTGTGAGCATTTTGCTTTTTTACTCGGGTGATAGGGGTTCGATTCCCCGCTCGGTCATATAATTTTTTTTGGCGGGGGGGGGGGGGGGATCTAACTGGGTGGCTGCCACGTTTTGTTGAGGTTTATAGCTAGACTGCAGTATCTACGTTTTTTTCCGTTCGATTTTGTGGTTTACAGCTAGCCTGTAGCGGCGACGTCGTGAAGCTCTATGTTTATGTCACAGGTAATATTCGTTCGCCCTTGAGAGGGAGGTTTGTACGTTGTGTTATGGTTTACAGTTAGGCTGCGATATCTGCCCTAAAGTCTTCAGTCTTCGGTAGTAGAGTTGTATGTATTCCCCCCTTCACGTGTATAACGGGTGTTCGATTCCCCGCTGGGTACTAATTTTTCTTTTTACCCCAAAGGTGTGATTGGCACGTTGTGTTGTGGTTTACAGCTACGTTGCGACATCTGCGCCTTACGCCCAAAGACATCCGATTTAAGTACAGTCCACATTAGCCTCCCCCTCCCCCCGACGCTTCACTCGATCAAAAACTATTCGTTAATGACACAAACTGTTAACTAAGAGGGCTTACGGTCCAGTTTGATCTTGGTCGACACGGATGCCAAAGTTAATTAAACATTGTCACTTCGGACAGGGAGAGATGACGAGTGCAGGTTTTTATTTCCGCTATTTGTGAAAATAGTGTACATTCTTTTAATGTCACTGACTATTACTGTGGGTTCCATCACCGGTTAGGTGATAGAGTTTTCTTTCGGGGACACACTTAAACTAAACAGTTTGTGGCGACAGCATCGGCGCCAATCCTCTGGCTACAACGACCTGTACAGACAGTAGTTATCGTTTTGTGTTGTTGCTGTGACGGTGGTGATGGCAGTGGTAGCAGTAGTACTGGTACTCGATGAGTTATGTGGTAGCTGTTACACTGGCCACATTTACTTCTCAGTACAGATTAATGCTACCCATTTTTGTCTGGGTGGAAACGGATGCCAAGCTCAATTTAACAACAATATTTCGTCAGGCGATGACTTACCCATACTTCGTAGAGGATGATATGATTGTCACGAGGGGGGGGGAGGGGGGGGTGTAGTGTCGAGGGGGGTTGATGCCAGACACTGTTAACTGAGAGAGCTTAAAACAATTTTTTTACATTTCTGAACTATTTCTATTTTAACAATGTCGCCACATAATAATGGGGGGGAGGGGGGGGGGGGTGCCAGACACTGTTACCTAAGAGAGCTTAACATATTATTTTCAAGTTCTCATTTCTTAACTATTTCTATTTTAATACTTTCGCCAGGGGTGATTTTTCAATCCTTCGGAGAGGGAGATATGACTGGGTGAAGGGGAGAGGGGCAGGGGTTGAGGGTTATGACAGACACTGTTAGTTGAGAGCTACTTTCTTTCTTTTCCATTTCACCATTCGCGGCCACAGCAACGCGTGGCAGGGCACAGCTAGTTTATAATTCAATCGTGTAGTGGCTTTTATTTGTGATCAATATCGCGCAGCCCATTCTTTACTTCAAAACAAATGATGTCGCAGTTTTTGTTAGTTTTTGCAACTCTTTACTTTCCACACATTTCCTGGTACCTATTGTAGTTCAGCTCAATTATGAAAATCTACTTCAATGAAGTTTTGTTCTTAAACAGTGCCTTTGTCTAATTCTTCTTCTTCTTCTTCTTCCTCTTCTTCTTCTTCTTCTTCTTCTTCTTCTTCTTCTTCTTCTTCTTCTTCTTCTTCTTCTTCTTCTTCTTCTTCTTCTTCTTCTTCTTCTTCTTCTTCTTCTGTCTTCTTCTTCTTCTTCTTTCTCTTCTTCTTCTTCTTCTTCTTCTTTCTTCTTCTTCTTCTTCTTCTTCTTCTTCTTCTTCTTCTTCTTCTTCTTCTTCTTCTTCTTCTTCTTCTTCTTCTTCTTCTTCTTCTTCTTCTTCTTCTTCTTCTTCTTCTTCTTCTTCTTCTTCTTCTTCTTCTTCTTTTTCTTCTTCTTCTTTTTCTTCTTCTTCTTCTTCTTCTTCTCTTCTTCTTCTTCTTCTCTTCTTCTTCTTCTTCTTCTTCTTCTTCTTCTTCTTCTTCTCTTCTTCTTCTTCTTCTTCTTCTTCTTCTTTTTCTGCTTGTATGTTCACCCTTTAAGAAAAGCGGCTGGTACGTTGTATGGAGATTTATAGCTAAGCTGCGATATCTACACCCTTTGACCCCACATATTAGATTTCAGCAAAATTGACCTACCTGTAAAGAACGGACTCCGCCTCAAGACATACAGCAGCCATGTGACTGACCGCTTCTACTGGATACAGCCCTGTTGGGTTTACATTGTTGGCGTTTACAAAGAAATGCCAAATCTGTTATTTCTTATCAGCTTTGTATTTTTAAACTACAGAGAACCTATCTAAAGCAATTGTTTCAATGAGACTTTTATTTAGTCTAACCAAACCACCTGGTCCTCTGTAACAACATGTGCAATGACTTCACCTGATTCTGGATATTCAAGTCAGGGGCATTTTTATTCAATGAATTTAATCTTACTGGGAGTCGCCGTGGTGTCGCGGTTAGACGCTCGTCTGCGGATGGGAAGGTTGTGGGTTCGAGTCTTGACGAAACCGGGCTTTCTTCAGAATGACCATGGATCCTAGATCACTCCAGCCTGGAGTGTGTAACAGGTATAGCCCTGAGAAGTAAAGGCGGTCGGCGTGATGTTGACCACAGCATTAATCAAGAGCCGACTGGTCTATAAAATAAAGGTCAAGCCGTATATGACCAGTACACTTGAAGACGTTTTTCTAGTTCTTAGTAGGAGTTTGCTCCAACGATACTCAGCTTTATGGTCACAACTCTTGTTCTTGTTACTTCAGCGTTCGCTCTTAAAGGGGCTGTTGGCACCGTGTATTGTGGTTTATATCTAGTTAGTTGTGTCCTTTACAGGACGTTACAGAACCAAGCCCAACATTCCGGTGGTAGGGGAGGGTGGGGGGTTTTGTAATTTTTCTGGGGAAAATTTACCTGGGCCTTTTAGCTCAGCATAATCGATTTCAGTAAATCCCTTATAATTAGTTGCCCATTGCGATATGCTTGATAAGGGTCAATGGTCTATTATCTCTTTTTCAAACAAACTAACACACACAGGATCGTTGAACCCACACTGGAAGTTGTCCTAGTGTTTCATGCTACATGCATTATGTTAGTATGTCTGTTATGTAAATACAGAATTGTTTCATCTAAAAAAAAAAGATAACAAGAAGAGCAGTCTGCACCATCCAGAACGGTTCACATGTTCAATAAACTATAGGTGACGCAGGGTTACCTTTCGCTGACTCTCCAGACAGCATGACGCAGTCTGCACCATCCAGAACGGTTCACATGTTCAGTAAACTATAGCTGACGCAGGGTTACCTTTCGCTGACTCTCCAGACAGCATGACGCAGTCTGCACCATCCAGAACGGTTCACATGTTCAATAAACTATAGCTGACGCAGGGTTACCTTTCGCTGACTCTCCAGACAGCATGACGCAGTCTGCACCATCCAGAACGGCATTGGCAACATCGTTGGATTCCGCCCTGGTAGCTCGAGGCTTGTAGGTCATGCTCTCCAACATCTGAGTGGCGCAGATGACCGGTTTTCCGGCAACATTGCAGGACGATATCATCAGCTTCTGGGCGACGAACACCTGGAATGGATAACAGAGAATTCATCATTCGTCCTCAAAAGATCATCATTTGAAGTGACGTGCTAATAATTATTGAACAATTTAGCTTTATTTTATACAGATAGGTGATAGATATTCTAATAGATACCTGATAGAGATTCAACTGGTCAGACAGACATGTATTTTTTTTTTAAACTTGGAGATACTTTAGCTAGGTGACTGCGGGTATTATGTTTTAATGATTATATATCGTAAGGAAGACACCGTGTTAAGGCGGCTAGATGCTCGCCTGTAGATCAGAATGCCGTGGGTTCAGGTCGTGATAGAGCCGAACTTTTTTTTTTTAATGTCCTTGGCTCCCAGGTCGACCCAGCCTTGAAGGGTACCAGGTACAAGTCCTGGGAAGTAAAGACGGCTTGTATGGTGCTGATTACATCACCCAACAGATGCCAATTGGTCAAAAAAAAAAATATAGGTCTAACCCTATATGCTCAATGCGCCCGAAGGTGGGGAAAGCGGTTCTTCACTTTTATATGCGGTTTTGTATGTTCATGTAATGTGTTGATGACGGCTGTCTAGTTGCAACATTCATTTGTCGTTTGTGCTTGTAATAACGTGAAAAGTATATTAGTTAATTACGGACACTAAAAGGAAGCTATGTTGACTCTTTAGGCTATACTAATCGTAGCTGTATATATTTTTTGTACGTCGCCACATGACTTTATTAAGGACAACAGATTTACCCCGCCTGATCAGCCGGTGTAAAGCAGCCCGATCAGGTCTATTTTAGCTCCGTCTATGTCAAATTGAGGCTCAGGTGAATAGAGATCACCTGGCGGCTTTGATGAGGCGAGGGTCAGCTACGGCGCTGGATTGGCTGTAGCTGTGTATGTCAACAGAGAGGGAGAGAGAGAGAGAGAGAGAGAGAGAGAGAGAGAGAGAGAGAGAGAGAGAGAGAGAGAGAGAGAGGGAGTAAGAGAGAAAATGCAGATACACAAGTTTTCTAACATTTCTGACATAATTACCTTTTCTGGGGGTATTTCAATGCCCATATCCCCTCTAGCCACCATCGCTCCGTCGCATTCTTTGAGTATTTCATTAAAGTTATAAATCCCTGAGAAACTCTCTATTTTAGCAATAATCTTTATGTGCTTTCCTCTGTCTCCAAGAATCTGTCGCATTTCTCTGATGCCCGCGCCATCCCTGTCAGTGTAATTAATATTATTAGCTATTGACCAGAAATTCTTTTTAAGTTTAAAAAAAAAATTATGTTTTAAAAACAAAGTAGGCGTTTCAACCATTTTTTAAAAGTTTAAGAATATTTTTCCATGTTACGAGGAGTATTGAGTAAGTAGTACCAGATTCTTTTTATTCTTCACGTTCACCGGATGTAAACTCTGACAAAAAGTTCTGGCTGTTTCTCCACTTTTGGACTCTCGTTGCACCAGATTCATCTGGAGCATTTTTTAAATGTCAAATTCACGTAATCTAATATATTCGACAAAAAACAAAAACAAAAAAGTTTCCTAACTCTTTATGGTCATCTAAAATGATTACCGGGATTTTAAACTTCTACGTGATTATTAAAGAAGCGCCTTTGCAATGTATATACACGTGTGTCATCTTAAAATGCTCAGAAAAGTTTAAAGTTTAAGATTCACCTGAATACACTTCGAAATGGGCTCCATTTGTAGCTCTGGTGATGCCTAGACCGTATCCCATCTCCTGCCAAGGCTTCTGAATCGTGACACGAGTTACAGCTGCAGTTGCTGCATCAACCCTCTCTTTAAAATGCTGGATTTTCCTCTTCTTTTTTTTTTTTTTTCAGCGCCTTTTTAAGCTTTGCGGTCACACAAAGTCACACGAAATTGAAATGTTTCCAAACATTTTAAGACGTCACTTTTATAATAACAGTTTTAAATCCCAGCAATCATTCCCGGCCATCATTTTCTTTCATGGAATTACCTCGGATAATCTAAAATGACTATAAATATGTTGTTTCGTCCCTCTAAATGTGCAACAACCGGGAAGCTTCACAGTGCAACAAATGTATGCAGAAGTCAGATGTTTCGGCCAAAAGGTGCATATATCGCAGATATGCGGCAAAAGGACTCAATGACAAACGCTGGAGCAGTCACTCAATCAAAACAGTCGTAAGTAATTTTCTCAGATCGTTATTGTACAGAGACATGGATCAGGTCTTGCAGTTTGTTGAACCGGGTAAAACCTTCGCCAATGACTCCATCAGGCTTGTCAAGAAGGGCACAGAGCCAGATAGAAAAGAGTTCCAGAAGATTGCCATGGCTACGGCCATTGGGTTTGCTGTCATTGGCTTCTTCGTCAAGCTGATCCATATCCCCATCAACAACATCATTGTTGGTTCTTAAAGCTCCAGCCAAATGGAAACATGTTTTGTGATGTGGCTGAGCTCTCATAACCGCAGGCAGGCCTCATTCAATGCCATAATGTTAAGATGATTATTTTCCTTGTAATAACAGTGCTTTTTGAAAAGGTGGAAAAAAAAGGACTCAATGCATTAAAGACTTCGGGTGAACGAAAAGAAGGAGAAGAAAAGAAGAAAATGTATATAAAAAATCACAAACTGGAAACATGCTTCTTGAGTCAGGGTTTAGTAATAAATCGTGCTCAAAATTCGCCCAAAACTAATTTCCACTTCAATAGGAAGATACAGTAGCGTCCTGGCTAGGCGTTTAACTGTCGGCCTTAGGGTCTTGAGTTCGAATCCGCATCGACTTTTATGACCGACCTTGACTGCCAGGTCGACACTCCTAAAAATGGGTGCTAGAAATGTTCTGGGAAGTAATGGCGGTAGCCTGGTGTTGACTATTTCTTCTTATAAATAATTAATACCTAATATTTTTTGAATATGTCGAGCCATAAATCAGCTAGCATCAACAGCGTACTACATGAGAACAGCATGCCAAAGGCAAGAGACCCGCCAAGAAAAAGACAGGTGTAGGGAGTAAAAGAGACACCACACAAACACAATATGACATTACTACAAGCTTCGCAACTGGCGAAAGATAGGACACAACAATACTCCTTTCTACGACGCTTTGCGGCATAAGCAGTAGGACAAAAGAAGAAGAAGATGTGTCTAGCACGCACCAAAGATGCATTTATATATAAGAATATGTCAGCACCTTAATCCAGATTAAATAAAAGTTCATGTTTGTCTTTCCCAGATACAACTTGCGTGCCGGGCAGATTGCAACCCTGGCATTAGTAAAGACGATTATAATTGATCTGCAATACCAGACATCGCAAAATATATGGCTAGAATTCAACACATTACTTCAGCTTATACATATAGTAGAACTGTCAATTATTTCTAAGTACATTGTCGTTGATGCCTTACAGGAGCCTATAAGAGAGGCATAGAATGGTAACTCTCCAACCTTCTAAGAATTTTGCAGTGAGTTGAATTAGTGGGGTGGCCTTGATGTTGGCTATTCATTCCGTAGAAAACTTTTGCTGCTACAAAAATTCAGATAAATAGGACAAAATTACAAAGGACTTTGCCTGAGATGTGTGAAGGCCTGTGATTAACCTGGAGATTAAAACACGAACAAGAAGAGAAGGAGAAAAGGGATGATGAAGAGTAGGAGGAGGAGGAGAAAAGATGAGGCAGACAGACAAACTATAAATTACTATTAACAGCTACAACGTACGTACCACAATTTACATTCAAAATTTTACAAACATTACAGGAAGGGCTTTGGTGCGTCAACACAAAGAGTTGAGAGAGGTTATTGAATACCGAATCAAACCTACTGAGGGGCTCATGATGCAGAGATATAATAGGAAGCGGCAGGATATAAAGTGTTGCAACCGCCAGACTTACTGTATAAATGAAGCGAACACCATGTCAACACCTTGATCTAGACCAAATAACAGGTCCTGCTTGTCTTTCCCAGATACAACCGGCAAGTCAACTTGCGTGCCGGGCAGATTGCAACCCTGGCAATGGTAAACGATTCAGAAAACATTTTTACATTTGTTACATGTTAATTAATGTGTTTTCTCTCCTCACACCTCTTCAGTGTTAGAAGTATACTAGATAATTGAGGTGAGTAAATATATAACTGCACATATTATGCTATGGAATATTTGGCACAATGAGCTGTTTCATGGAGAAAATATCCAAAGGATGCTAACTACTCAGGACCTCTAAAGCGATGCTTGCCACTCTGCACGCAGCATGCCTGTCTCTACTTTTCTCAACACACTCTGTGAGTCAGTTACAATTACGACATATGCATGCAGCTGACTCTCAATCCCCCCCCCCCCCATCCCCCAAAAGAAATTTGAAACAGACTACAGTATCGGTACAGCTGTTAGATATCCTGTTGTTAGTTGCATGTTGTACTGGTCCCCTCTATAACAGTTTAAAGCCGTTTGATTATGTGGCTTCAAGTCCAATCAATCAATCAGTCAATCAGGTGCCGTCTCCAGAACCTTAGGAACCGCCGAACTCATGGCATTAGACCAACGGTTCTCAACCTGTGGGTCGCGAACCTTTTTTTTTGGGGGGGGGGGGGGGGGAGGGGGGTTTGAACGCTCTTTCCACAGAGGTCGCCAAAGACCATCGCAAAATACATATTCATTAAAGTTATGTAGTAGCAACGAAAATGAACCAATGGTTAGGGGTCGCCACAGCATTAGGAACTGTATTAAAGGGTCGCGGCATTAGGAAATTTGAGAGCGACTGCATCATACGCTTACTGGCAAGATCACAAAATTAATTCTTCTGTGTTCAGTGCTGTCAACTTGAACGGACAGTCCTGATTGGCCGTCTGTCTGGACTTTAGTTTTGGTTTCAAGACTTGAATATTACGCGATTATTTTCATGCTGTCAGGCTATCCGTTGGAGATCCAACTTCATCGCACACAGGTCACCCGCTAATTGCTCCGTTCCTGTGCCAGTGAATATCCCAATAAATGCACAACACTGTCCCTTGTGAAAGGTCAAACACAGCAGACTATAGGAAAATCTAACAGTTTTCACACGCAGGAAATGCATGGCAGCCGCTAGAAGGGCCATTTCCAACATGTCTCTAGCATTGCTATTCGTAGTTGATAGAAGCATCCAAAGCCGCATTAATAGCATTATGGATCTCTGCGCAAACCAGTGAGCTGGGATCCCGTTGAAAACCAATTACCGGAATTACATTTTTATTTACGACAAGTCACATGACATGCACAGATAAGCATGGAGCCTCTATACTCGTGCGGCCCCCGAGCAAGTACCCAGTGGGTCTGTTCGTTAACACTGCCTTGGAATCAATAATTTTGTCAATATATGTTCATTACTATTTTGTTAATATGGATATCTGCAAGAATTTTCATCATATAAGTCTGTTTTACTCTATGTAAATCCTTAGTGTAATCAAAAAGGCAAAGATTACAGTCTTTCTTTTACTTCTGTAGAAAATGTTATCAACCAACTATCACTATTAAAGTCACCAAGTTCAGAACTAACCTCCATTAACTACCTTGATTTTTTTCACGAAATAACACCTTGAAAGACATGACATAAAAAGTTATATCAGAGGGATTAGTTGAAGGCAGGAGAATAAATGTTAACAAGCGAAACAAATAAATGATCATCCAGAGATGAACAAACAGTAGTCTTAGAGAGTCTACAACCAGGGCGAGAGACAGACAACGTTGGGGATCCAACACAGCCAATCTCTTTTTTTTCTTTTAGAATAATGTATTCTTGCAAATGAAATGACAATCAGCCATCAACTGATACCGTAAAACAGCCATAATGTGTTAACTATGTGAGTTAGTCACATTCTGGACTTGTTGAAACGTAGCGGGTATACATCTTGTATACACGTAATGAATATATATATTTTTTAAATAATACTAGATACCACAAAGTCAGTGTCGAAACAAATCTCAATCAATTTCGCTGATAGTCAAGACAAGGAAGTAAACACCTACAACTGAATCATACTTTTTGGGATGATTACTCTAGCAACATAAAAGTGGCTATATTGGTCTCAATCCCTTCTGACTATGTACCTAGATATGTTCATACCCATCATAACAAAAGTTTATATAGCAGGGGGGGAAAGCCTATAACAAAATATGTCGCCATTGGTAATAAACCACGTCACTGAAACCAATTGACTTTAGTGGTGTCATTCTTGTACCGAATCTGTGTCTAGACCCGTGCCACTAGATTAGCACATCAGCCCTCCTTAATTGACATTTGAAATGAGATTCCTCGGGAAGACAGAATCTCGTCAGCAGGGGACTGCAACTGTCTAGAGAGCAAACTCGATAAAAGCTGTCCCCAGAAACGGAATGTGTCAACCATATATTTGGTGGGGAGGAATCGACACATACGGTTAACTCAATGGCCAAATGAGATTCTCAAATATAGTCCAGCTCAAAAATCAAATATCCGCCTACTGGGATTTCAGCTCAAAAATTGTGTACCCAAGTCACCCATGTTGTACTTACGTGTAGCAAGTGTTACCGCCACTAATGCTGTCATCATGTAGGAAGGGATATATTCTCACAATCCGCTGAATGTATCGATATGATCATAAAGGGTTACTAGAAAATTCATTAAAAGGAAAAACAATCACAGGCTTGAAAAAATTACCAGTTTGAAGAAGCCAAATTATTCAGTGTCTGCCCAGCTGCTCACAATATAACAAAGACATGACTGTATGCACCAAGCACTATTTATCGCGTGAAAATTACGACAGAACACCACAAAGCCATGTTAATTTTTTTAAACCAATAATTTCCGGGAATTTCTGAAATGCACACACAGAACATTGTGACTTCTCCTATGAGTTACTTCTGTGGTGCGGTAAAGAACTGAATGTTACTGGATTAGTAGACTTTCTGTTCTTGGTGCTGAACATTTGTTCTGCCTCTGTTTTTCATCAAGTTGTCAGTAAACTCCTGGTAAGGAGGTTTGGTGAACACAGTTTCCTTCCAGAGGTCGGAGGTCAGATACGAATATGTCTTTGCAATCGCTGCGTAGGTAGCTTTAGCGAAGTTCCCCAGAGTGGAGGTTGCACCCCTGGCAGAGGTGTAGCAATCTTCAATCACAGCCATGGTCAGGAGTTTCTTGACAATGCCAGTACCTCTTGGGGCTGGAATCAGCCTCACCAAAACACTGCCACATTTCCCAGTGACTTTGCATGGCACTGTATGGGGCTTTCCAATTTTGTTGCCCCGGTAGCCTCGCCTCACTGGAACGACTGAAAGTTTAGCAAGTATGATGGCTCCTCGGATGGCAGTGGCCACCTTCTTAGAGCACTTCACACCCAGTCCAACGTGACCATTGTAGTCTCCAACTGCTACAAAAGCCTTAAATCTAGTTCTTTGACCGGCACGAGTCTGCTTCTGAACAGGCATAATCTTCAGCACTTCGTCTTTCAATGTTCCAGGTGGCAGGAAAAAGTCAATGATGTCACACTCCTTGATTGGCAGTAAGAAGAGGTAAATCTCTTCCAATGACTTGATTTTGCCATCCTTAACGAGAGCCTCCAAGTTTGGTCACAGGTACCCACTCCTAGTCACCATCCTTAGCTCCTCGTCCACGACCTCTGCCACGGCCACGACCTTCACCTAGACCACGGCCTCAACCCCTGTCTCCAAAGCCACCAAAGAACCCACCCCTCGGACTATCACCGGCTGGTGCTGCAGCTGCGTCCGCCATTGGTGATTGTTCTATCGGTCAAACACAGCCAATCTCGCTTGGTTGAAAGTTAATAATCAGTCGGCTTCAAAAATGTTATAAAAGTGACAATTTTGATGGCGACAAAGACCCTATGTTAGATCGTAACTAACATACTAAAATTATTTAATACCGATAAATAACACAAATACTTTTTTTAAATATTTTACTTATGACAAATAGTACAAACACTTTTTGCTGTTCTTTTCAGAGGATTGCAATAGTTTTAAATTTCACAAATGGCGGTTTAGGAAAACACCGGTGTTGTTTTCGGACAGTGGCACGATGGTTGCGCCGTAGAAAACACGGGGATCTCACTGGGTTTGATTCCAAAAGACCGCAGACCACTGCAGCCAACATACATTGTAAAGACCATACAAACAAAAGCAAAACTAAAGCAGAAGGTTAGAGATCGTGTACGATTACCTTTTTGCTGCCCAACTGTCCGCCATTCAAGATGGTGCATTCCAGTCGATCGTTCTCCTTGTGCGTGACTTTCAAGGCTATCAGCCCGTCATCAACATAGATAATGCTTCCCACACCGAGAACGTGGGTGATTCTCTTGTAGTCCACCCACAGGATGTCCGCTGAACACTTTTCCGCGTACTGGTCATCCGTTGTTACCAATATTCTGTTACCTGAACACGAGACACGTTCACATATGTAATTAAAAAGTTGGGTATCCCTTACAGGACGTTGCAGAACCAACCTCAGCATTTTTTTTTTTTTTTAGCTGTTGTGGTTTTTCTAGGCAAATTTTACGTTCAGTAGTTTGCTATTGCTTCTTGAACGGTCAGCTCTCGGTACCACTGTTGAAGCCAACGCAAGACAAATCGTACGCAGCTGGGATCGAACCCGGCATTACGAAGCGCGTTCGCAACGCTTAAGCCACAGACACCGGCACATGTAATTCAGAAAGGGTGAGGTTATTCAAATTTTAGAATGTTCAAACTTTAAATTTTAGAATGGACAAACATTCTGGTTTTTCTTAAAGTCCATGCCGTGTGGCGTTGGTAGTCATGTCTATCCACAACCTTCTGTCTCATGTACTTTCGATTATACTCCAAGCCATGATGTCAGACTTTCCACTTTCTTTTTCCTTCTGCTTCTCCTCCAACTTTCCCACTGTCACAATGTACTTCAGTTTTCTCCTTCTCATCACATGACCAAAGAATGCAGATTGCTCTTTCTAATGTGGGCAGTCAGTTCTCTCCGTGAGTCAGTTTCTTTCAGACATCTTCATTGCACTTTTTAATCTAACTAGGGAATTCTCATCATTCATCAATAAAACCCCATCATCACAGCTTCCAAATAAACCAAAAGAAACATCGCTGAAAGAGTCTACTGGCAAGCAGCAAGAACTTGAAGACAGACACAATGCAGAAATGAACAGAAGGTTTCCACCAGGAAGCATCAAAACCAAAGAAGACCGAAGAAAACAGGCTCAATACGGAAAGAGACTGAGGGAAGAGATGAGAGAGACGACAGAGAAGACAAAATCCACAGACACCTACCAGCCAGACCCAAAACGTCAAACAACACAGAGGACGCCAGACAAATATGAGAAGGAGAAAAACACCAGCAAAGATGGAAATACAAAATTACATAAAAGTCCTTGTAAGGACTAAGCATTATTACATCCTAGAAGCCAAGACAAAGCGGGAAAACGTGACAGAAAGAATAAAAGCCAGAAACAACCAATCAGAAAATAGGAATCACAAGACAACAAAAGGATAGGACAGAACCAAAAGGCAATATTCAGATGTGTCCTAACATAATCAGGAACGAAACAAAGAGACACAATTAAGAAATTGAAGACCCTTGCCTCCGGATACAACAACATCAGATATAAAACAACTCTATACAAGGAAGAAGCAACATCAATTAAACCGTTTAGAACAACATAACAAAATGGAACCGAAGGAAACCATATTCAAACAAACCATACTCAATAAAGATCGCAACTATAGGCATCAGCTACATAGCTGAAAATGTCTGAACGAGATCAAATTTTATTTTTTCTTTTACAAGAAGCAAGTAAGCAAGCTTCCAAATGCTACCTTCAGGTAGTGGCTCGAAATGGGATTGGGTTGGAAGGGGAGAGGAGAGACAGATGGACAGTTTTGACAGAGTGTAAAGAGTTTACAGATAGGTTAGCTGCGTATCCATTACAGGGAGCCAATCACAGCATGTGTTGGCTGTTTGTGGTTGCATAAGGTAACCTTAGCTAAACTAGGATTTACCGGAAGAACCTATAGATACATCCGAAGCTTTCTACAAGACAGAACATTTTCAGTACTAGTTAATAACGAAAGATCACAAACTTTTGATGAGGTGAATGGAATCCCTCAGGGTGCTGTAATATCCCCTACCCTGTTCAGTATATTAGTAAACGACCTTGATGATGCCATCACGAACAAGGACACAGGACTAACTCAATTTGCGGACGATTGTGCAATCTACCACAGCCATAATCAGATCCCCTGCGCTAAGAGAAGATTGCAGAAAAGTCTAGACGAAGTTGCGCGTTGGATGGGAAAATGGGGATTTAAAATCAACGTCGACAAAACAGTAAGCATGAAATTCAACTTTAAAAGACAGCTTAATTGTGACCCAGAAGTAACGAGACTCCAAATTAATGGTAGAACAGTTAAGCGGACACGTTCGACGAAATTTCTATTAATGATTCTGGATGAACAAATGACCTGGGCTAAGCACATCGATGATCTCGTAGTAAAGTGTACAAAGTACAATAATATGCTGAGAATGATTAAAGGAAACGGATGGGGAGCACACCAGGACGCCCTAATACAATTTTATAAAGCTTTCATTAGGGGCAAAATGGAATATGGAAGCATAGTATACGAATCAGCAGCAGAGAACAGCAAATGCAAACTTGATAGGATTTAGTGCCAAGCCCTGACTTCCATCATGGGCGCTTGCAAAGGGACATCGAGAGAGGCCATGGAGGTAGCACTAGGCATCACACCGCTTAACCTCAGAAGGAAACAACTAACTTATAGCTATTGGATGAAAGCGGCCAACGATGCCAGACACCCAGCTTCAGACGCTTTTCATCATAACATTACCCACCTAGGTGACAGACCGGTCAGAGACATACAGAGACCAGCAGCCTGGGACGCTGCACTAGAAATTAACGATGATGAGGACTTAGCTAGGACTCTAGAGGCAAGCGTTAGGTTTGTCCCTCAAATCCCTCCATGGAGACTAGAGCTGCCCAGGACAGACATGAGTCTGATTAAAATTATTAATAAGAATACTGAAACATTTGAAGCCAAAGCAATAACAGAAGAATACATAGACCAGATCCGATCAGACAATCTGGTTGCATACACTGACGGATCTAAGAATGAAGCAGGAGAAGTAGGAGCAGGAGTAATAATCCCACAGTGGAATATGCAAAGAGAATATAAAATAACAGATCATGTGGCAGTATGCAAAGCAGAACTAGTCGGCACAATGAAGGCACTAGAGATGGTAATTAATAAACCTCCAAATAAATTTACCATACTGACAGATTCATTGTCCTCGGTGCAGACGTTAAAAACACATAAAACTAGCAGTAGACCAGATATTAAAGAGACAATCCTAAATCTAACAACTCAGCTCAAGAATAAAGGATGCCAAGTCACCATTGCATGGGTACCAGCACACAGAGGTGTAATAGGCAATTAAAAAGCTGACATAGGAGCCAAAAAGGGAGCAAAATGTGATGTTTTAGTAGATGTAGGACTCGGAAAAACTGAAAGGACCAGCATAATCAAACGACATTTAATTAAAATGTGGAAACTACAATGGCAAGGGAGCAATAATGGCAGAGATGCCTACAACAACCTTAAAGAGCCCAGCCTTAACACACAGGTAGGGGACAAACTGAAAATTCCAGCTAACAAACTACTATGGAGAGCTAGGTTAGGGTGGCATCCAGAGAAATTCACATCACCACTATGTCTGGACTGCTTTCAAGATAATACAATAGAGCATTATATAATAAACTGCACTAAATATAAATTGGAGAGGAAACCCATTGAGGAGTATTTTCTAAAACGCAAACAACAAATTACTGCAAACAAATGTTTAAAGGTAGATAGCAATAAAGACATCCAAAAACTGGTTAAACAATACCTTATTAAAACAAATCAAAACTAAAAAGACCAGATTAAGGATTTACTCAGTACAACAGAAGGAACTGATGAGATGGTAACCCCGGACACCCTAGAGTCAGAGAGATAGTGTAAGTATGATGAGTGCATAGATGTGAACATGAATACATACACAAGGATGAGTGCGTGTAGTATGAATGCATTTGTGTATAGGATGGATACATAAGACACAGTGTATGTAGGCGGATGGTAAGGAATCACGTATGGATAGGACAGTGGGAATATAGCTGTGCGAAAGGTACAGATGAATGAGTACATAGATTTAAAATGTATTACTGTATGCATGTATACGTGGGTATGAGTGTGCATGTGTATATATATATATATATATATATATATATATATATATATATATATATATATATATATATATATGGGAGCGTGCATATTTATATATTTGTGAGTGTATGAATGACAGTGCACTCAAACAAACCATAAACTGTGTAGCTGTATGTCTGTTAATTAATGAGAACAAATGGAATGAAGGGTGTACGCAACAAGAACGTCATCAACACACACCATCCACCAAAACATGATAAGACAGTACCGGACAGGTCACATACCAGTAACGGGACATAACTTAAAAGTGACACGACCAGACGAAATTACAGGCAAAGCGACACAAAACGCATAAGACATGGAAGAGTGAATATCACTACGTGTAGATGTACTCGTTTTTTTATGAATGTAAGTACAGGCATTGGTAGACGCATATGAAAGAGTTTGCGTGTGTACGTAATGTCAGTTAGGTATGCATACACGGATAAGTATGAAAGGACGTGCAAATATGTAGTGTTGTCTGCATGTATGGGTACTCGAGTGCATGTATGCATACACCTAGTTGGGTGCATCCATATACTTCCGGGATTCATACACAAAACCATCCCATTCCACAGCATGCATACAACATGCACATGACCGACAGGACTCATAACAAAATATGACTGACAGCAAACAGGAAAAACAAGTGACTCGATAATGACAGGACTAGAGCGCATAACCTCCAATACCACCCCATCACTGTAATGATAGCAAAGGTTGATAACGTGATACACATAGTCCCGGCAAAAGGCCACGCTAGAATCCAGCAAGACGGCAACGACGAGAAATGACTGAATGGCTACCCCGCCCCCTTTCCTCTCACCTTTCCCTAACTCTTTCGGGTGCACTATTCCCCCCCAACCCATTCCCACAGAGAGCACTTGAGTTAGTTGCCCAACATGCCACAGCAATGCTCATCGCCGAACATTTGGATCTCAGAGCGTGAGCTGGATGGTCCGGTTATATGGTATTTACGTACACCGGAGCTTAGCTACAACACAACCCGATCACATAATAACAAATGACGACTGGACCTGCTTAAGACTCCACATAAACTCTCACACACATATCCATTATATGACTAACCCGTTCATATTGCAAGAAGACAACTATAAGACCACTATGGTCACACGCGGAAAATTTTCACATTTCGGAACGATTCAAATTCAAAAACTGTTTTCAGTACTTTTTGGCAAAATTAAAATACTAAAAATTTTAAAAACAATAAATGGTGGCCGAAAGGACGTTGTGTATGGAAGCTCGCTCTCCTTCGAGATACGCCTAGCCAGATCAAAGGGAGACAGAACAAACAGGAAACACTAAGAAAGAAGAAGGAAGACATGCACCAGTGACAACAGGACGAGCGGTTTGATTCGGATGGAAGCATCAAGCCCAGAAATGGCACAAACACTAATATTCAGTCACGAAAGTGACGCAAATAACCCAGACCACAAATACAGGCGGAGACTGTTAGCAGCCTAGGCTAGCTAGCAGCAGTCTGAACGTGGTCGAGCTTTTCTTTTTTTCTCTCAAAAGGACTTGGACTTGGACATTAGTAGTTTGCAATGCCTACTGACGAGCTGACGCTCAAACCATTGTTGAAATTAAGGCAAAGCGCCTGCTGCTAAATGGCCTGCAGCTTTTTCCAGCACGGTATGTAGGAATTATGAAAGTGCGCTCGTAGATCCCAAGTGGCACACGCCTATTTCCACTATTGTTGTCAGGTAACACGGTGTGATTCAGAGCTTACACGCGAGTTCTCTAGACAAGAAGTGCAAACCTCTGTTAATGAATGTTTTCCATCTTCACTCTGGGAGTTATGAGATAAGAGCCGGCATCATAAAACTCGACAAATTCACATATGCGTTCACTCCCCATTTTCAGCAGCAAGCGCAGAGTTGCGATCTAATAGTATGTCCGTCTCGTCCCTGCCCTGAGTGTTGAGCATCGACCAGATCACCTGGTCATTGATTGCTGATCCATTGAGAGGAAGAGGGTGTGGCTCTGGCACCTTTAAAGTGTGCAAAGTGTGTAGCCTGGATTCATTACGTTGGAGATCTTGTTTGAATCCCTTTCCGTTATTTTAATGTAAGTGGTTTCTAGAATGTTCTAAAGCTGGGTAAAAGGACACGTCGCGGTAAGTACTCTACCTTAGTGTTTTTCAACAGGTTGGATGTCCGCAGACCACTAATGCTCCGCGGAACTGTCCTGGTCCTCAGCCAACAATTTGTACCTAATCAAATGTTGTTTTTGTTGTTGTTGTTGTTGTTGTTGTGATGGTAGTTTTGTTGTTGTGTTACCTGCTATTTGTGGAAAAAAAGACATTTTCTAACAATGTCAGTAACAAAAACAAAACATAGATATCAACTGGATTTTATTGCAGCACTTCATCTATCACACACAACGCTGCAACAACGAAGATAAGATTTTCTAACCTCTAAGCAGCAGATTTTTGAATTAGATGAACATTTTATTTGTGTGCTATCAGATGTTACAGATACACTGTTATCTACATGTGTTCTTGTTTGTGCTTTTGATTAGTCGACAGTTTGTCTGCGAAACAAGTTCCTCTGTTTTGCGGGTCTGTGTGTTAAAAAGCTGCTACACCTGATTCCGATGCATTGGGGTCAACATAAGTCTACTACTTTACTATATATAGGAAAGTATTTATTTTCAGTGGTACTCTGAGTGAATTGACCAAAATTATTTGATCTCAGTACATATTTACATAGAAGCATGTAATTCATTTAAAGACGACTAATATTTTTATATTAATAAGTGTTGCAACCATCTTAGTGGTATATTCTTGCCAGAAATTGGCAAATCAACACCCCTGCCCCCCCCCCCCCCCCCCCCAGTTTTTGAATCCTATTTTAAGCAGTCTGGCTACTTGCTATGATCGGTGACTGGCCAAGCGGTTAATTACATTTGACTCAGCCGCAGAAGACTCAGATTCGAGTCGGTAAGGTTATCGTTTTTTTTTTTTTTCTGTCAGAGGCAAAAATAAAATTCTAACCTGCACAGCCCGTGGCGACTGCACAGCCAGAAGCCGTGAATCTTTAGCCTCAAACATCCCCTCCCCCTGTCTGCCTAGACCGCAAAAGTGGTAACCACAGGCAGTACTTTGAGTGCCTTTTGCAGAATTACCTTGGCACAAATGTGACAGCATTTGACGTTTATACAGACTAGTGTCTCATTAGCTCTCGACTTGATTCATCATCATCATCAGTTCTCGTTATGCCTAGTGGCACATGAGGCTTCAGAGAGGACTTTCCATGCTTTCCTGTCATGTGCAATCTTCAGTGCAGTTTTCCATGTCAAAAATGCCGCACTCAGGTCACTTTCCATCGTTCGTCTCCATGCTGTTTTTGTGCGCCCCTGTTTTCTCTTTTCCTCTGGTGTCCATGTAAGAGCTGTTTTGGCAGGTATATCAGAAGTCATTCTCATAACGTGGCCAAGCCATTTCCATCTTCTCTTGGTAATCATACTGTCTAAAGTTTCTTGGTTTGTGGCTTGAAGTAGTTAGGTGTTTGTGATTGTATCTGGCCAGAAAATTTTAATAATTCTACGTAGACATGTGTAGTGGAAGGCGGACAGCTTGTGTGCATCCTTTTTGGTCATTCTCCAGCATTCCGCTCCATAAAAATGAACTGGCAAAATGATGCTCTTGTAGAGAGCAACATTTTGCCAGTTCTTCTTTATGGAGCGGAATGCTGGAGAATGACCAAAAAAGGATGCACAGAGCATCATTTTGCCAGTTCTTCTTAATGGAGCGGAATGCTGGAGAATGACCAAAAAGGATGCACACAAGCTGTCCACCTTCCACCACACATGTCTACGTAGAATTATCAAAATTTTCTGGCCAGATAGAATCTAGACTTAATTGTGCATCTATAAGTGCCAGTCAGTGCACTACAATTTGTTTATCACACTATTTTTTTTTTAATATAAATTAATATTCTTGGTGCAAACTAGTTGTTCTTTTAACTCTGTATGCCCCAAGCAGTTAAGTAATAAAAACTCAGACTGAAGACGTTCAGCAGAGACAGCTATGAAGGGAAGTAGTTATACTAATAGTTAGATAACAACAGATAATGAAACATCTGTCTTTAAAAAAACGACAAAAATAATACCTTTTTCTCTGAGGAAACACTAAGAAACGTACAGTTAGTTGTTTTCTGTCCAACGTGGAGGACTAGGCATGGCGGAACGTTTATATTAGAAGTTATTTTCTGCAACTGACAGCGCTTCGCTAATTACATTTGGGGAAAGTTTACAGTACGGTTTCGCTGCCTTAGCTACTGAGTTAAGTGCTTGGTGCAGCACTGTCAGCTGTGTTTCTCGTGCGGAATGCCTTTTATTTGTCGTGGCTGAGTCTTGGTCAATTTAACGGTTGCCGGTTTGCGTGTGGGCTTGTGAAATACTTTATGCATAATTTTACGTGTGTATAGCCAACTTATCACGATTGTTGGCTTTGCCGCCTTGAGCAACCGCCAATTTCTGGCTGCGCATATTTCTGGATAGTCACCGTGGCGGAGCGGTTAGACTCCCGCGTGCGAATCGGAAGGTGGTGGGTTCACTATCTGGAGGAGCCGGACTTTTTTTTTTCATAAATGACCTTGACTTCTAGGTGGAACCAGCCTTGAGTAGGTACTGGATGCAGTCCCGGGAAGTAAAGGTGGCCGGCGTGATGCTGACCACATCACCCATCTTGTGCCGATTGGTCTATACAAATATAGGTCTAGCCCTATAAGCCCTATACGCCCAAAGTCGTGGAAAAGAGTCCTTTACTTACTTTACTTCTATTTTTTTCTGGACTGTGAAGTGAGTAATTATTTGTTCACCAGTTGTTGTTTTTTCCAGATGGGTTAGTGAAAGACATAACATTTGATTTTTACTGGCACAGTAACATAGCAAATCTAGCCTGACCCGATTGCTGGGAAGTTAAAACATTGACTAAGACTAACACTAAGAGAGGTGTTTGGTACTGAAAGAGTTAACACAATGTTAACGGCCATTTTTTTAGACTGAAACAACAACTATACCTGTTTGAAGAGTCACTTCCGCTGAGGGCCCACCGAGGAGAAGGCCGGTTCTAATTTCAGGTCCCTTGGTGTCCAGTGCGATGGCAATGACTGCTCCATTAGGCAGTTGTCTAGCCGCCTCTCGAATGTTCCTTACGGTTCCAGCGTGATAATCGTAAGTTCCATGGGAGAAGTTGAGTCGACATATATTCATTCCTGCCTTCATCAACTTCACCAGCACGTCTACCTGATTCACAAGCAAATACACCGTCACAGCAGCTTACTCTGATAGTAGAGGCTACCCAATACCTAAGAAGCGCCCGTGGTGCATTAGCTAGGTGCTGGACTGCAGGTCCGAATGTTGTTGGTTCAACTTCTAATGAAGCCGGGATTTTTTTTTTAAACTTACCTTGGCTTCAATGTCGACACGGACTTTAATAGGTACCAGATAAAGTCCTGGGATATAAAGGCTTCCAACATGATTTTGACCACATCACCCACACTGACACTGGTCTATAAAATATAGGTCTAGCCCTATGTGCTCTATACACGTGAACAATATACGTGAAGGCGGGAACAATGGCTCTTTACCACATACCTCGGAGCTGGCTAGGGGCTTGATTGCCCGTGTGGATTTTTATAATTGACCTACAGCTCCCAGACTGACACAGCCTAAATGGGAACCAGGAAATGTCATGGGAAGTAAAGACGGCCAGTGTTTTTAATGGCATAAAATATAAAATGTATACCAGACCATTTTCAGAATATGCTGGAGAGTAGGAGGAGGGGAGATGGGTGACCCCAGGAGTGGGGGCGGGGGACTAGAATATATGAAAGCATATTTCAGCAGCAAAAGCCGAGTGGCCTGGGCTAATCGACCATGAGTTTTCACAGACAATAGGGGGCTTAAACCCCGACCTCCCCCTATATTGAAGTTCTCTGTTTAAGTATTCATTTATACAATTTATATTTTTGTCTATTCCTCATTGTATGTATTTGCTATGTTTGCTATATTGCTTATACAATTATTATTATTATTATTATTATCATTATTATTATTATCATCATCATCAATATCTCACCATCTTCATCATTATTATTATAATATGTCTGAAACACGGTAGTGTGTTTCTTGTAATTAAAATGCTTACTACAAGGAATGTTAATGGAAGTTCATGTAATTAATACGGTTATTGTTCACTTGTGTTTACGTGTGTGTGGGGGGGGGGGCGCATGTATGTTTGTGTGTATGTATGTGTGCATGCAGGTCTACATCGTCACCCCTGGTAGAAAACTTCTGCCGCCCATCAACCTTTGAGGATTGTGCCTTTGGTCAAACCCCAGGCCAACAGGATCTCGCTGTGAAACAGGTGTGCATCACTACAAAACAATGCGGGCATCGAACCCGGACAAAATATGTGGCGAATGTGGATAGATCTGGTGACAGGTGCGCATATCGCGGCTTCCTTGTAAACTGTCACTTTTTTTTTTTTAGTATCCAGAAGCCATGAGTTGTTAACCCTTAGGCTCGATGTTATGGATATCGCCACCCTTCGGCTTTGATTCCATGATAAATACCGTAAATCTGGGAGAAATGTGGCTTTTTTGCCTACCCCCGGGCGTGAACCCGACCACAAGGAGCTCATCATCCCGGTCATCGCGCAATTCGGTTTAGCCAACTACGCTAGCGAGACGGGCGTAAGCTGTCACTAAAACTGCTGTCCGAAAAGAATTCATATTTTGATTTATGTTTAAGGATGCAGATTTATTTGCTTTGGTTTGTAATTGTCTAAACTACGCCGCATGGAAGTACAATATCTACTGGCTGGTGTTAATTATCGTCTGCGAGCTGAATAACTTCTATATCTGTTACTGAGTGCGAAAAGGCATAGTTATACAAAATGGGTAATAAACCTGGCAATTGAATGTTGCCCTAAGCAGTAAAGACGGTGGATATGATGTTGGCCCCTTGATCCATCTAGTGCAGAGGCTCTCAACCTATGGGTCGCAGCCTTTTTTGGGGTTGCCTGTGATCATTGGAAAACAAATATTCACTGAAGTTATGAAGTAGGAACGAAAACAATTGTATGTTTGGGGGTTGCCACAACATAAAGAACTGTAAAAAAGGGTCGCCTCATTAGGAAGGTTGAGAACCACTGATCTAGTGCCGTTTAGGTGCTTTCGTTTTTATTCACCCCAAACAGACAGTCCAATATTTCAAGGGTGGTAAATAGGCTTCATGCAATCGTGGGACCTAGGTGGGTTGGGTTTAGGACATGATCTATGTGTTTTTTGGGTAGTTAAAAGCACCACAAAGTCGGAAACCCGTTCTTACCACCCTATCAAATATTGGACGTCCCTGTGACGTCATCTGGGGGTGACTTATTACGAAAGAACCGCCATTTATCCTTTAAAAATATGAGTCCATCATCATATCATCATATGCCACAATCATAATGACGGGCCTTTATTTACTTACTTGCTTTCTTACTTTACTGTTATACAACCAACTAAAATGTTGTTTACAAACATCATCTCGTAGCAGATCCTTTGCAGAACGCCGCTCTCATCATGGTCTGCCTGAAAGAAACTCGACCTCTCGTCAGCTTTCCCTCCTCGTGCACTTTCAAATCCAAGGAGTCACTTATATTATGTGCCCATCTTTGCGTTGGTCTGCCCCTGCCCCTCCTTCCTGGTACCCTGCCTTCTGCTTTAAAAAAAAAATCCGCCGTGGCGCTTGATAGGGTCAAAATAATTCAGCTTCCGAGACAAAATGCTGTTTTTTTAGCAAATCTTCCTTGATGTTTAGATCTTTAAGAATGTCAGTATCTCTTTTCTTCTTTGCCGATGGTATTCTGAGAATCTTTCTAAAACAATACAGCTCAAAAAGCCCATATTACTTCAATAAGGACTGCGAGATAGTCCACGTCTCACATCCATATGTTGCTACAGAAAAGATACATGCTCTCAAAATTTGACTTTGTTCTCCTTGTGGGTGCTTACCATAGACTTTTTATGCTGTTTAATCTTCGTATTGCTGTGGCCATCCTTTCTTTTTTTACCTTTATTGAAAAGACTCAATTGCTGTTTATTATAGAATCTAGATATTCATAGTTTGTGACATTTTCAGTGTCTTCATCATTTATTGTTATTTTAGGGTGACCGTGTTTATAAAGAGTTTAAGTTCTGTGCAATGTTTACTGCTACGTTCACATTAACGTCATCAAAGGTTACATTTTGAAGCGCTGACTATTGCAACCTTGATGACCTTGTACCTGGAAGTCACATTCTTAGCGGTGTCACGGCGTCATGTGCTGATCAAACTCCGCGCTAATTAACTGAGGCATGTTCTGTAAATTGGCCTCTGTGATGTGGGCGTTGAGAACGCGCTTCGTAATACTGGGGTGCCGGGTTCGCTCCAGCTGCAGGTGATATGGCAGCAACCGTCTTGCGTTGATTTGGACAGTGGTATCCAGAGTCGACTATTCCAAGCAAAGGAAGACAACTGAAGGTCAAAAAAAAAATTAAAAAAAAAAAAACAATAGCCAAAACATGCTGGGGTTGGTTCTGCAGCGACCTGTAAGGCAGTGTTCTTCAGCCTATAGGCCGTGGTCCAGTTGTGGGCCGAGGAGTTGTCCAGCTGGGCCGCCAAACATTTCTGCCTTACCATGGAACGGGGTCGTATAGGTGGTTTTTGTCTTTTATGATTGCAGTTCTGAAGGATTAACAACACCTCAAGGATGAGAATCAAGTAGGTACAATGGATATTTAACATATAACCAGTCAGCATTTAAAGGTATTAGCTAAAAAAAAAACGTAGCTTATCATGACAAGCGAAACGCCGATCGAGTTGCCTTATAATGTCAGTCTTGTGTCCAGACATAAAACACAATCAGTACCTACGAGTTTTGGATAGCGTTCGGATTCAGTTATTTAGAGAAAGGTCGTTCTTGTGGTACGAGAGTCTCATAGGGAAAGAGACTTGGGTCTCACTATGTGATTTTTCAAGAGAGAGTAGTGAGTGCATAACAGAAAACTTCCATTCTGGAGACGGTACATGTTTTAACTCTACATTTTTTTTTCAGCTGGTCCGCGAAAACATGTTTCCAGTTTTCAAGGCCTGCTATTGTTAAACTGTTCATGAGCAGTGTTTATGAGTTCCCATTTTCTGACATTTGAAAAAATAAATTTCCCTCTTTCGCTTTAGAAAACTGGAGTGCGAACACAAATCGTCTTTGGTAGTATATTTTAGAAGGTAGTTAATTCAATGACAGATAGAGCTGCATGCCTGTATTGTCCTATACGTTTAGTATCCGGTTGCCATGTAAACTCTCCTATCATCATCATCATCATCATCATCATCATCCTCACGTTGAGACGACACATAGGGCTATCTGTCTAAGCCTCCATTCGGTTCTATCCTATACAGTCCTTCCGATATGAATAGAAGCCAATACGTCATCTGTGGCCTCTCTCACAACAACGTTCGTTTTAGGATTTTTTTATTTCTTTTTTTTGGATGTCCTGTTTCTAGTTCTACTTGTTTACCAATCCAGGACCTGTTTAGTGAATCTCTGTCCACTTCTCCGTAGGATGTGCCCAATATATTCCCAGCTCTTTTTTTTTTTAACTGTTGTTACCAGCGGTTGTTCAAATATTTTTCTTTTTTCTTCGCCTGTCTTGAATTCATCCCATTTTATGCTCATCAATTTTCTTAGATATTAAACTCTCCTTTGTAACAGATTAATGTCCAATACTGAATACTTCATCATGTGAGTAATAGGGTTAGTTGCGTATCCTTTACAGGACGTTGCAGAACCAACCCCAACAGCCCCTGGCTGTTGTGTGTTTTTTCTAGGCAAATTTACGTCCAGTAGTTTGCCATTGCTTTCTGGACGCTCGGCTTTCTTGATACCACTGTCGAAACCAACGCAAGGCGCATGGCTCGCAGATGGAATCGAACCGGGCATCCCGGGATTACAAAGCGTTCGCATCGACTTAGCCACAGAGCCGACTATGTGAGTAATAAGAAGTATTTATTCTGGTAATATGATAATCTTAGTTTTTATTTTTTCTATCGAAACTGCATTTACCTCTCTGGAAGCTGGTCCTATTGTGCAGACGATGTGGGTTAGTCTGAATGAAGCCGGGCTCGAATCAATGCTCAACAAAGTATTGTGCTGGATAAAGCTATCGCAGAGGAAAGATTTGAATTGTTGACCAACTGGTAACTGGAGCTTTCCAAATGATGACCGCACACCTGATTTCTCGACCTCTTCTAATGCTTCTTTTCGAAAAATTGGCTTTCTCCCCGAAGGGCCAGGTTGTGCTAGCATCTGAGCCATGGTTGAGAAATATTCTACAGCTCGAGAAATCACAATGCGTTTCCAGGAAATCATGTTGCTTCCCCGTTCATGTTGCATATGTTGGTGCTCGGGTAGAGGAAATGATTCAAGGTGTGCAGCAATTTTGTTGTCGCCAAACATCACAGTTCTTATCCTCATCCTCCCCCCTCTCCTCCTAATCATCATCATCATCATCATCATCTGCCTCTTCTTCTGTTTCTTCTTCTTTCTTTTTTTTTCTTTTTTTTTTCTAGTTTTTTTTTATTCTTATCCCCAAATGGAGCATTGACCCCTAATCAACTCACTCCAGGTTTCATTGAATGCATCTAATCTCAAGTTCTTCCCATTTATGTTTTTAAACGTCACTGGCTAGTTCACTTCCCCGTAAATCTGTTAGTCTGGTTTTTATTTCTTGGACCCTGTAGCTAAAGACACGATCAAAGCTGAAACACAGAGGGTAAAAAGTGTCACGGTCCATTTCTACGACAATATAAAGATGTGTGTAAACGGAAACCCGAATGATACGGGTATCGAGGTAGGTTAGTTTTTAACAAAATGCCATGGACTGTGTTGCGTGGAGGGGTAAATAAGAAAGCCAATAGACATATGTCAGGTACAACTAACCAACTGACATATGTCAGGTACAACTAGCCAACTGACATATATCAGGTACAACTAACCAACTGACATATGTCAGGTACAACTAGCCAACAGACATATGTCAAGTACAACTAGCCAAAGGAAATATGTCCGGTACAACTAGCCAACTGACACATGTCAGGTACAACTAGCCAACAGACACATGTCAGTTTTTAGCAATGCTGTAAGTCACTGACTCAGTATTCTTCCTTCCTTACTGACGTCTTCTGAACGTTCTCCGCCTCTTCATTAAATTCAGATTCTATTAGTTAAGCCACTGACGTTTTTTCTTGCTATTGTTGCATCGGGAATACGGTGTACAATCCACATTTTTTAGGTAAAACGGCGCTCGATTTTATAGCACAAAGATGACGGGGTAAACATCACATCGATCGTCTTTACTTCTAATCACATTTCCCGATACTTGTTTTAGGCTGCTACAGCCTGTAAACCCATGCCAGAAATAATAATCGTCTGTCGCGATGTAGATCCAAACCAAAGAGCTTCAGGCGAGCAGACGCTGTGCTACCACACCTCGCAGACTTGATATTGTCTGCAGTATTACAACTGTCAATGGCGCTGGATGGTAACCTGATAAACAAATACCTTGAAGAATGTGATGTGTCGGCAGACACATGAAGGTAAAATGACAAAGAGTATCAGTGACATTAGGTGACACTGCAATCTTGAGGCGCCAGACAGTCATTCATCTTGCTACCCCCCTTCCTCCCCCAACCCATTTTGTTTCCTCAGCGCGTGAGTACTACGACCATTTCCGTTTGTACGACCAAAGAGGAAGTAATCAGATGATCACACAGTTATGCGTACGATCAATACATATTTCTATTTTTGTTTTTATACTTAACCGGATTGATGCCCCCTTTCCATGGGATGGTTGTCTCTTTAATAGTCTTGTTTGGCATAGTATAAAACACCTACTAATTACAGTCAGGAAGCTCCCGTGGTGTAGCGGTTAGACGCTCGCCTGCGGATCGGGAGATGGTGGGTTTAGGTCCTGACGTAGTCGGACTTTTTTCCAAAATAACCTTGGCTCCAAGGTCTACCCAGCCTTAAATGGGCACTAGGTACAGTTATACGAAGACAGCCTGCATTGGCAAAATTTGGTGTTACAAATCTACCCAAAATATTTCAGGATCGGATCCTCGCCGGTGCTACAGAGCCCGTGCACTGCCCTGAGCTACTTCGGGCTCAGACTTGAGTTAACAGTAGATCGGAGCACTTATGGGTTACTACCTGTGGTCCGTGATATTGATCCGTTGTTCAAACCTCAAACCATGAGCGCAGGTATCAAAATATATCTGACTGTATTGTAGGCATCTTCAAGAACAAGTGCTGCCACAACTGTCTCCTGTCTATTTTGGAACCCCTTTGTAAACATCAAAAGCAAAAGTAGCTGCATTTGACCAGGTGTCTTTCCCTGGCCCGTAACTACCCAAACCTTTTGACAGGAGCTCTTTCCCTTACCAACAAAACATTTGTAGTGTAACAGCAATAATCTTTTAAAGCACCTTGCCAAAAGTATTTTGTAGGATGACAATCCTGAAACTGGAATGGTCTTTGCCTGCTTTTGGAAGTGTGATTAGGTAGATGATGGGATATTAAAGCCAAAAATGGTATCAGTGGGAAAAAACATACCCTCGATTTTTATTTTTTTATTTTATTGTTGTTTGTTAACATTTTGGAAAAGCATTTCATCCACAAATTGACAAAATACTATTAAGAAGCATTTCTCAAGTTTTGTGAGCTTTACTTTTCTTTCGCTGCTTGTAAGGCCAGTTCATATGGTTCTTCAAAAGCCTTTTTATTCTGTTGACCGAAAGCACATGTTTAATCTAATTGTGTCTGGTTTGATGAGTTAGTTTTTTAGCAAAATATTCTAAAGACGTATTTATTAACTGTAATTAAATGCGTTTCTAAAGGTACAGGTCTCATTCCATTATTCCCGAGAATACAATGGCAGACAAAACAACACACAATTTTTTGCATGAATTTACCAACACCATAAAACCTAACCTATTAAAGTGTACAATTTGTTTCTTTGGCAAAGACATTATTATTATATTTGTATCACTAAAAAAGAAGCACACAGGGTTACCTGGGGATGTGGCCTACGCTCGATACTCAAGGGAACGGTGAGATACTTGTACCATCGGAACTGGAACTCTTCGCTTGCTGCTGAAGATGGGAACTGAGCGCTTATGGGAGTGTCCCGAGTGCTATTATGTCGACCTTGAAGCGAATAGATTCAAAGCTACTGGCAGACAAGAGCTCTAGCTACTCCACTTATCTCGATGACGTCTTTTGCCTATGCGTTTCTCTCTGATGTTCCGGAAATCGGAGACTTCGTTGAAATTACTGAATTGTGTTTCTTAGCCGGGACGAAAAGGAACAGTGCGCGCGTGGAATGGCAAGTACGCTACGCGTTACTCACACCACAGGGGGTCGTTTGAGTAATCTGTTGTGGCATTCGCGCGTTCTGTTCGGCTTACGCTTGCTGGGTGTACTAGCCGGCCTCCCACGGTGACCGTCATCATGTTAGCAGACGTCACTGTTGCATAATCCTGGATCAAGGTCTGTCTGCCAAGCTTCTTACGTCTTTGATGCCAGTACTAAATTACTTAACAACTTGAGCCAGGGTAAATTTGTGGCTAGTGTGCTTGCCTTTTAACGAAGTGGTAATGATTCAAATTCGTAACTAAGATGATTTTTTAGTCACCAATGATCTCATATCTATCTAGTCTAAAGTATAACATTATGATATTTTCTCGATTGTTCCCAAACTTGTCAATAATGTCTAATAACACCATACTCTGTTTATGTTATCTGTAATGCAAATTAAACTTCAGTTAACATATTTCAGTTTTTAATTGATGACAAGTTGCAGTCATTACAACAGTATGGCTGTATATAACTTTCTAGTTTACAAAAGCTTTTAGCTGGTTGCTCCGCTACATAAAACGTAAGAGTCTACAGCAAATTGTGGAAAAACAACGTCTTATTTGCGTTCATCGTGAATTACTGACGGAATGTACTAGTTACTTGTACTTGTTGTACGAATTGACATCCTAGAACATTGGACCGACTCCCTAGGCTCCGCCCTCTGATGCAGCATTCATATTAGTATCACTGTTCTCGGTTTACCTAGTAGATATTGACTGGGTATACCTTCTGTCTTTGCCCCGCAATCGCCTTTTGCATGTTTGTCCTCGTTTAATGCACTTTGCAGCAGGCGCTTCATGGTCTCTACTTCCTTGTTTCAAAGTCTTTGGGACGCAGCGCATTCATTATGGCTGCCCTGTTTATTTCCCTCACCCACTTACAACTGCAGACTCAGGTAGGATTCGTCAGGATGTACAAGTATCTGGTCTAAATGTTAGCAGAAAAAAGGTATAAACAGAAACCAATCGTAGGTTGTTATAGCCAGGATGTTAGAACAAAGAGTAATACACTTCAATGAGCAACAGATACACGGGGGGAGAGGGGGGAGGGGGTGGATTTACATAAGGTAATCTTAAATGCAATAACGATATATAAGATATTTTCAGAGGGACTTTGGGGCTATGTTGTAACTTATCGCTATTCAAGTCAATAAATATTGAGGCAATAATCGGGAATTATCGAATAGTAACTATAGCGTTAGATTTATTTGTTATTTAACGTTACTTCTTGTCTCCATTAAAAATAAAAAAAATCTTTATCAGTGCTTGGGAATTTATTTATCGCATTTAAGGGCACGTGTTGCAAGTCGATAAGTATATTAAAATTTTTTTTTTAAATAAATGTAGCGACTTACTATAATTAAATCTTATCTTAAAACACGGTTCGAATCACGGACAGTTGGTATATTAGTGAAAAATTGTTTGGAAGATACGGAGATTTTGTTTTAAAGACGAATGATGGGAATATCCAAGACGGATCAAAAGAGTATTGAGGATGCTTTGAACAAAACTGACTCACGAACAGAACCGATTGCCCACATCGAAGGGAGACAATTAACATTCTTTGGTCATGTCATGAAGAGGAGTCAACGGGAGCACATCGTAACAGTAGGAAAGTTGGAGAGAGAAAAGATGCTGGACAGTTAGGCATCTTGATAATTTGATTCTGTATCAAAGGCTGTGGATAGACATAACTACCAACGTCACACGGCATGAATTTTACGAAGAAGATACATTAGAAAAAAAATGGACATAATATATTAAAACTGTAACCCAACTTTTGAACGGAGTGTTATCTGTAATAAAATTACTGCTTCTTCTGTTGCAGCCGCTACTACTACTATTATAAACACTACTACTATTACTGCTACTCTACTATTACTTTTATTACTATAAAATCCG